TAACTACAGTTTCCCTCTCCATTGTTACTGTTCAGTGCCATGTAATCAATTTTCATCTCATAGTGACCCCATGTGACAGTCCAGAACTGCCCCATTGAGTTTCCTTGTCTGTAATCTTTATTGAAGTAGGTGACCTTTAAAGATTTCCAGATCTTTCTCCCGTAGAGCAGCTGGGTGGGTTCAAACCTCCAACCTTTCTAGTTAGCATCCAAGTGCTCAACCATTCATGTCATCAGACCTCCTTTATTGTGGCTACTACTTTGTTGATATAATGAATTGAGGGTTTCCTTTGTTTTCATTAACCCTCTCCTTTGCCAAACATGATACTCTTTTCTATCAGTTGTTCTCTCCTGATATTGCATCCAAAGTAAGTGAACCGAAGTCTCAGCATCTTTGCTTCGGAGTAATAGTCTAGTTGTATTTTATCTAAGACTGACTTGTTCATTTGGACAGTCTGTGGTATATTTAATATTCTTTGCCAACACCACATTCTTATTGCATCAACTCTTCTCTGTTGAACTTTTGTCATCACCCAACTTTTGCATGTATATGAGGCAATTGAAAAGTCTATGGCCTGGGTCATCCCCATCTTAGTCATCAAAGTGGCATCTTTGCTCTTTAAAACATTAAGGAGATCTTTTGCAAGATATTTATCTAGTGCAATACATTGTTTGATTACTTGACTGCTGCTTCCATGGACGTTGATTGTTGATCCAAGTAGAATGTTGGTTGACAACTTTCCACAATAAAAGTTGTTAAAAAGATATATTTTGTCAAAGTGTCACAGTTTGTGATGTAGGCAGGATATCTGGGGAAAGTAACAATGACTTTCTAAACTTTGAATCCTGAGCGATCTAAGCACCCAAGGAAGCTGTTTAGATCAATTCAGTCTCATCTTGGCAAAACATGTTAAGAACTATGAGAATGAGCCCTTGGTTTTGTAATCTCACCCTGAGGCTTTAGCACCAAGAAATACTTTTTAAAAAATTTCCCTACATACAAAGAATCTTGTGTTAGCATTATACTTAAGGGGAGAAGCTGGGATCTACCTAAAATTTCAACAGCAAACAGCACATGATGGTTAACATTCTCACTGGTGGACTATTAGACAGTCATTTCTAACAATAAACATGACAACTTTATAGAGGCATGGGACTGTGCTTACAAAATAATGCTGGGTGTAGGATACAATATTGCAGTTACATGGTGATATGGCTGTTACATCCCTGTTATAATTAGAGTTAATGAGAAAGAAAGAGAAAGAGGATGAGAGAGATGAGTGAGGAAGAGAGGGAGGGTAAAAGGAGGAAGGGACAGAATAGAAAATAAAAACTGTTACTGTGTTGTTGTTCAGTGCTATTGAGTCAGTTCCAACTCATGGACTCTAAGTACAACAGAATGAACACTTCCCTTTCCTTCTGCCTTTTCCCATACAGCAGTTCACATATACTTTGTCTCATGTCATTGACCACAGTTTACCACAATGCAACAGCTCCCCTCCCACTTCCTCCCCATAGTTACCTCTTCCCAGTGTCCATCCCTCCATATACTCCTGCCCCCTGAGCTGTCTCCCTGTGCATAAGCAGCCCTTCTTTCTCTCATGATTGTTCTCTCCAAGGAGTGTATCTACTTGAGGTAAATGTTCAACTCATATACCTGTTTTGTTTGGCTGGAAACCACCGGTGTGGGTTCAATTCCAGACCTGAAGGGCAGCTAGGGGCCATAGTCTCAGTGGTTCCACGAGGCTCTATCGGACCAGCAAACCTGGTCGCCATTTGTTCCACCTTCTTTTGATGTTTCTTGTGTCATTCCATATTTTGCCCATAGAATCCTTATATAGTGCTGGAAGATAAGCCCCTCAGATTGGAAGCCATTAAAAATACAACTGGAGAACAGCTACTTCCTCAGAGTAGAGTTGACCTCAATGATGTGGATGGAGCAAAGCTTTTGGGACCTTCATTTGCTAATGTGGCACAACTCAAAATGACAAGAAACAGCTACAAACATCCATTAATAATTGAAATGTGGAATGCATGAAGTTACTGTGTTACCATGATGGAATTATGAGGGTTTTTGGGGAACATCTTTACATATTTGAAGTTGTTTTGGTGGTCAATAAGAAACATGCACAGAGGTTCTGTGGCTTTGCGCAAGTCAATTAAATTCTCTAAACCTCTGTTTCTTCCTCTGCAAATGGGGAAAATAATGGTACCTACTTCATGGAGTAGTTTTGAGGATTAAATGAGATAATCCATATAAAACATTCAGCAGAGTGCTGCACGAACAAAAAGCACTCAATAAATGTTAGCTATCCTTGTCATTCTTATATCATCATTGTTATTATTGATGAGGGGAAATTCTTATATGGTATAGATGGGAGAATAAATGTTATAAACTTTCTGTAATGCAGCAGACTAATTGATATAAAATATTTAAATACAAACACCCTTTGTTCACATGTAGGAATTCACCCTTAGCAAATAAGTTTAGTGAAGTATTTGACATGTACACCAAAAGATACAAGTATATTTTACCTCAGTGTTATTTATAATAAAAGCAGATTGGAAACAATCTAAAGATGCAGCAGGAATTATGTAAATTATGAAACATATATACATGTATTAATAAGGATATAGTATACTTTTATATAATTATATGAACATGTATCTTTACCATTACATAAAAGGAGATATCATAACAGTGTAATACCATTTATATAAAAAGGTATATGTATAGTGATGCATTTAAAAGACAGATACCAAACTATTCTCAAGGGCTACCTCTGCTGAGGTCAGTTGCTCTGAATTATTTGAAAGTGTATTGTTGTTATGTGCCATCGAGTCACACTTGACTCATAGTGACCCTTCTTTGGGTTTCCGAGGCAGTATCACTGAAGTAGATTGCCCAACCTTCCTTCCAAGGAGTGGCTCGTGGGCTTGAACCACCAACCTGGTTAGCAGTCAAGTGCCTTAGGCACTACACCACCAGAACTCCTAACGTGTGGATATGTACACACACACACACACACAAATACATAAAGGGAACTCTGGTAGCACAGTGCCTAAGGCATCTGACTGCTAACTGGAAGGTTGGTGGTTCAAACCCACCAGCCATTCCATGGAAGCAAGACTGAGGAACCTACTTCCATAAAGATTTACTGCCTCGGACACCCAATGGGGGTCACTATGAGTCAGAATCGACTTGATGAGTGGGTTTTGGTTTTATATCTATACATATGTGTGTATGTGTAAGGACCTCTGCTGGTGTAGTGGTTAAGGCATTTGGCTGCTAACCAGAAGGTTAGCAGTTCAAATCCACCAGGTGCTCTGTGGAAGGAAGATGAGGCAATCTACTTCCATAAACATTTACAGCCTTGGAAACCCAATGGGGGTTGCTATGAGTTGGATTCAACTCAATAGCAATGGGTTTGGTTTATAAATACATGTGTGTAGGTGTGTATATACAACCTCTGGTGGTGCTGTGGTTAAGGCATTGGGCTGCTAACCAAAAGGTAGGCAGTTCAAACCCACCAGTCATTCCACAGGAGGAAGATGAGGCAATCTACTTCTGTAAAGATTTACAGCCTTGGAAATTCGATGGGAGTTGGTTGCCGTGAGTCTGAATTGACTTGATGGCAGTGAGTTTGGTGTGTATACACAATTTTTTTTTTTTTAAGACTTAAATAAGACCCCTTACTGGTATAAGGAATTGCAAGTTTGGACATTGGCAAAGTGTAGCATCAGTTTTATCAGTTCAGTAGCCACTTAATTCTGGGAGGAGTGGGAGTCCGCAGCTGTAGTGAATTCTGTTATGGATAGAAATAATGTGGCTTCATGGAGTAGAACCTGGAAAAGATGGCACATTTGTAGAGGTTTCCTTAAATAACAAAAATTACAATCACTCTTGTCAAGTGTTTTATGTTTGCATCATAAATTTGCTCCAGAGAGCAATCCCCTGAGGTGGACAGGGCAAGGTGTTATCACTCTGGACCAACCAAGTCACCAGGTGTGAAGTGGTACTGGAACCGAAAGCCAAGAGTCTGGACTCCTTGAACAATTTCTGAAAGCTCCTAGTCCAGTGCCCAGCCCAGAGCAGGTCTTCCATGGGTTTCTGCTCCTCTTCCTCCAAATACGCTCAGTGGGTCCATGTGTTGCTGCTCCTCTCTGGTCCCATTCTCTGTGCCCTTCTTGTCTCTATTCTCCTTCACATGTTCTATGCTACAGTCAAATTCAACTTCCTTTCTTTCTTCACCGTGGTCCTTCCCACCTTCATCTCATCATTCTAGAACATCGGCTCTCTACATTCTCTGCCTCCTCCCAACTTTCCTGCTTCTCTACATATGCAGATCCTCTTGGTCCTTCAATGTTAGAGTCAAATGGCAGCTACTCCCCCAAAGATGTCTGAGATCCCCCAGCTGGATGGCCCTGCTCCTTCCCCATCCTCCAGGTCACACATCTACCAGTCTCTTAAGATGCATGATACTCTGCTGCCTAAGAGCTCTCGCAGGTATGTGGCCTTTCTCCAGCTAGGGTGGAAGGACTTTTGAGAAAACTTCTATGTCTTATTCATCTGTTTCCTCGGTGCTGGCCCATATGCAGTAGGTACTCAATGTACTTTGGTTGATGAATGAGGGGGTGAAGGAATAAAGGAAGGAATAATGGGAGCATGAAAGAGGGCAGGAGGATGCATGAAGAGAGGATGGGCTGAGGTAGATGGCTCCTCAAACCCTGCTTAGTTCTGGCCCTGGCTCTGCTGGAGATGACAGTGGGATGACAGCCAGCACCTCCCCAGGGTGAATGACCTCAGGGCTCTGCCATCTCCAGGTCCTGCCCATATCATAAAAGAGTGAGTGCTTCCTCTTCAGGGGTGGGAGGGAGAAGTGGAGTGATTTAGGGGTTGAGTTTTAGTAGCTGGGAGAGTTTATAAGCTGGGGCAGCAGACCACTGGGCATAGACATCTTGCTCATCTTCCTGCTCTCTGTTCTCTGCTCTCCCAGCAGCATGGCTTTCAATGGCAAGTATGAGATTGAGAGTGAGAAGAATTATGATGAGTTCATGAAGCGCCTCGGTGAGTGAACTTCTGAGTATGCCTTTCCCAGTGTGTTTTGGTTATCTCTGTACCTCTCTGACAGGAATATACCACAAATGGGATGGGTTGAACAAACAGTTTATTCTCTTACAGTTTGGAGGCTGTAAGTCCAAGTTCAAAGTGCCAGACTCTAGGGGCTGAATGAAATCCCCTCAACCTTGGGCTTCAGCTCTGCCTCCTGCTCTTGGCCCACTGGAGCTAGAGGCTTTTCTTTACTCAGACAGCTGCTGGTTGCTGAGGCTGACAAGCTCAAGGTTGACAAGTAAAAAGGCACAGTGCCAATGTTACCAAACCATATGGCAGGTCATTAATTCAAGTTCATTGAAAGTCCCAAGGTTGGCAGAGCATGGCAGGCTGCTGAACAATGACACGGCTACATGCAGGGTTCAAGTGTGCCATAAACTAGAGACTATTCGCAAAGCTGCTTTTTATATATGGGAAACAGACCACATCCCTAACGCAGCTACTCAGCTGCTTGTGGTAGATCCCACCATGAAGATGATTGCCAGTCTCATCATGAGGAATACCTACCACCAGCTGCCCAGCCACTCAACCAGGCCCAGCCAAGTTGGCACATAACCGTAACTACCACACAAGGCTAGATTTTCACAGCCAGCTCTGAGACAGGATACCTGGGTCCCTCAGTTAGAGCAGGACAGGATTTTGTTAATTAACTCATTCACACATTTGTTGAGCAATTGCTCTGTGCCAGGCTCTGGTGATAATAAGAATACACAGTCTTTGTCTTTAAAAAAATTCACTGAGTATTAGTATCTCTACTTTATTGATGGAAAACTTAAGGCTCAGAGAAGTTAAGTTCTAGTCCAAGGTCACAAAGTTAGTAACTGGTGAAGTGGAGACTTGATTTGCTTATTCATTCCAACATTTACTGAATACCTGCTATACACAAGAGCTATCTCAGTGTTAAGGAGCCCGGGTGGCATAGAGGTTAAGCTAACTGAAAGGTTGGAGGTTTGAATCCACCAACCTCCATGGTTTAGCTCCATGGGGAAAAAAATGTGGCAGTCTGCTTCTGTAAAGCTTACATCCTTGGAAATGCTTTGGGGTAGTTCTACTCTGTCCTGTAGGGTTGTTATGAGTTGGAATCAACTAAAAGGCAATTTGTTTTTTTTTTTTTTTTTTTGGTTTTATTCCAGTGTTACTGATGGGTATGTTAGCATGACCTGCCCAAGGTCACGTTCAAAGTCAGTGGCATATGTCACATCAGCACCCAATGGCCAAGAGGTTAGTGTAGATTCCAGGTTTGACAAGCCACTCACTCAACCACTCAACAAACAGGTCTCTACTGTGTTGGGCACAGGGGGCAGAAAGATCCAAGATCTCACCCCTTCTCATCACTTCTTGACACTGGTGAGTAACCAGTGAGGCAATAATGTGACAATACTGCAGATATCTCAGTACTCTAAATCTAAGGCAGTGCAATTGTCAAGATCCAGAGGACAGCCCCAAACAGCCTGTGCCCTACCTCAAGTGGCCACCTCTTACCTGTTAGCTGGGCCAGAGATGGCAGAGAGTAGAGCCTTAGGGAGGTAAGAGCCCTTTTGAGTCCATTATTGGGAGTAGCCTTTATGGGAATAGTGACTGGCTTTGTTCACAAAAGTCTAGTTGTTTTGGAACTGAAAGTCAGCCAACTTCAGTTCTAGCCCTGGTTTTGCTGTTAATCTGCTCTGACACCCTTGGATGTCCTTACCCACTCTGGGTCTGAGTTTCCTTATCTGTAAAATAAACGCATAAGAAGACACAGTCTAGAAGGTCCCATTTATTCTAGAATTTTTTGAGCTTGGCAAGTATCTGTTATATTTATATTACATTAACATAATCTATTTTATCAGAAGAGCCAAAACTAAACCTACTGCTGTTATATTGATTGCTACTCATGGTGACCCCATGTATCAGAGTAGAACTAAGTTCCATAGGGTTTTCTTGGTTGTAAACTTTATGGAAACAGATCACCAGGCCTTTCTTCTGTGTAGCTGCTGGGTGAGTCTGAATTGCCAAACTTCTAGTTAGTAAACTGTTTGTGCCATTATCGAGTACCAACTATGTACCAGGAATTTTGCCAGTCACCATCACATTTAATTTTGCAACAGCCCTGTGAGATAGGCCTTATTATCCCCAATTGTGAATGGGAACACTGAGGCTAGGAGAAATAATGATTGCCTGAGGCAAAAATTTGAAGCCACATCTGAGGGAGGGATTGTGCTCTTAACTTGCAGTCTAGCCTGCCATGGGGGAAATGGGTAAGTTTTTGCAAAGTCACAGGTTGTAAGCAGCTCTTACATTACACTGTCCCTTTGTCCAGGGCTCCCCAGCAGTGCAATAGAAAAGGGCCGCAACTTCAAGATTGTCACAGAGGTTCAGCAGGATGGGCAGAACTTCACCTGGTCCCAGCACTACCCTGGGGGCCAGTCCATGACCAACAAGTTCATCATTGGCAAGGAGTGTGACATGGAGACCATGGGAGGCAAGAAGTTCAAGGTGAGGCGCCCCTCTCTCCTTCCTCAGGCCTCTGGTTAACCTCTCCATCTCAAACATGGCCTCTCTGCGCATCAAACAGAAATCTCCTCTAGACTAGATTCCAGCACTAAGAGCTTCAGTTACTTACTTGGTCGTTTAATCACCTGGGTCCAGCCAGAAATGGGCACAATAATAATAAAAGTAGCAAACATTTATTGAGCACTTAATATTTCCCAGACACTCGCTATATGCACATCTTAATGCAGTTAATCCTGAGGTCTACAATTGTGGTAACTGCCAATTGCTGCCAAGTTAGTTCTGACTTACGGTGACCTTGTGAAATGCTACCCAGTTCTGTACCACCTTCATGATCATTGCTTTGTTTGGACTCATTGTTGTGGCTAGTGTGTCAATCCACCCCACTTAGGTTTGCCCTGATCCTCTACTTTACCAAACATGATGTCCTTTTCTGGTAACTGGTCTTTCCTGAAGATGTAGCCAACGTAAGTGAGCTGAAGTCTCGTCATCCTCACTTCTAAGGAACACTCTGGTTGTTTCTTCTAAGACTAATTTGTTTGTTCTTCTAGCAGTTCACAGTATATTCAGTATTCTTTGACGACACTACAATTTAGATGCATCAATTCTTCCTTTTTCCTTGTCCAGCTTTTGCATGCATATCAAGTAATTGACTTGGACCCTAATCATCATAGAACTATTAGCCCCATTTCATTGATGGAACAAATGAATCATGAGATTAAGTAGTTTATCCCCCGGTCACACAGCTGGTAAGTGAGGAGCAGGCCCCTACACCCCGGCAGCTGGTTCCAGCATAACCACTTTTTTTTTTTTTTTTGCTGCCTCTTGGTGTAGCCCAGAGATGAAGAGCCCAGGTTCTAGAGTCAGGCTCAGCTGGGTTTGAAACCATGACGTTGCACTTACTACCATGGGGCCTGTGACAAGTCGTTTCACCTCCCCTACCATCAGTTCTCTAGGAGGCAAAATGGGACTAGGTGCAGTCCTGTGTGCAGCCCTGACTCCAAGAGCCATGATGAGGATTAAATAACACATGAAAAGCATGTAGCATAGTGCCTGCCACATAGTTAATGCTTGAAGGGAAAAAAAAAAAAAAAAAAACCTAAAACAATTTGTTTTTGTTTCACAGGTGAAAAAACTGAAGCTGGGGGTGGGGGTGGGGCAAAGTAATGTGCCTAAACTCCTGAAGCCAACAGGTAGCAGATGGGGGTTTGAACCGAGGTTCTCTGCCTCTAAGGGTCAGGCTGTTTTCACAGAGTGCTGCCGCTGCAGTGTACATGCCACCATCCAGGACATAGAGCAACTGTGCTGCTGATTAACTTAGCCTGGTGGATCTTTCAGAAAGAAAGTTCTAGAAACCCTGATGAATCCCTGTAAGGGCTGCCTGCAGCCCATACATGTATTTCTGATTTTCCCAGGACAATGTCTCTTGAGTAGCATGGAAGTAAAAAGTGGTGGTCTGTCCCCACCTCACTCAGGCTGGCCCCTCAAGTCTTCTACTCATTCTAGGTCCCTCTGCAGACCTCAGCCTTGATCAGGAGTGTACTTCACTCCTCAGACTGCCAAGGTGGAGGATAACTCATCATAATATTCATTTTTGCAAGTGGGATTATTATTTGTTTTGAAAACAATCTTCCACTGATGTGTCTATCTATATCAGTACATATTGATTTGCCTTACTTTTTAATGGCTGCACCATATCCTATACTATGAAGTGCCATCATTTATTGAACCACTTCTTCATTGATGAGTAGTTAGGCTTTTCACTATTGAATAACCTAGGTTGTGTATGAGGCTGTTCACTGTTACAAATATTTCTGCAGTCAATATCCTTGGATGACATTGCAATGATGCTGATCATAACTCATAGTTAACACTCTGGAGTGGCGAGTGCTTACCATGTCCAGGCACTGTGCTAAGCACTTTATGTATACATGTTGCTGTTGTTACGTGCCGTCAATTCAGACCTGACTCATAGCAACTCCTCCTTGGGTTTCCGAGGCAATATCATTATGGAAGTAGATTGCTGTTATGTGCCATCGAGTCAAACCCGACTCACAGAGACCCCTCCTTGGGTTTCCGAGGCGGTATCACTATGGAAGTAGATTGCCCAACCTTCCTTCTGAGGAGTAGCTGGTGGGTTTGAACCGCCAGCCTTCTAGTTAGCAGTCAAGTGCCTTAGGCGCTATGCTACTCCATTTTAGAGATGAGAAAAAAGAGGCACAGAGATATTAAATGGCTTGCCCAAGGTTACCTATATCACTGGATCTATGTAATTGTATATTTACAAGGTAAGTCTGTTGGAGATATATCCGGGGGTGCAGGTGGGCTTCATCCTTGAGGGCTTGGTCTGCTTTGGGAGACTCACTGACTCAGCCCAATGGTGTACTTCCCTTCCAGGCCACTGTGCAGATGGAAGGTGGGAAGGTGGTGGTGGACTTCCCCAACTATCACCAGACCTCGGAGATTGTGGATGGCAAGCTGGTGGAAGTGAGTGTCCCACTGGCTCCTGGGATGACTGTAACACCACAACCACCCCTCTACCTCCCTCCTCCCCTACCAATAGTGCATTTTGTGAGCATCTCTCCTCTCGCCTTCAGCCTACCCTCAACCCCTTGCCATGTTCTGACCACCCTCCTCCAGACTGAGTCCCAGACTTACTTTTGTTGCTCCCTCACCTTCACTTCATCTTACATACATCCCATATGCAAATCACCCATCATCTCATATGGCTCCTCTTTGAAACTGCTTCCTCAAACCAATTAATCAAGCCCAGAATTCTTAGCTTGAACTTCAGGGCTATGTGCACCTTTCCCCTAGACTGGGCTTGAGATGGGGAGTCAAGGAAGCAATGGTATGCTCTCCCCATCTCTGTAGACACTTCTGCCCATCTCATTAGACTGGCCATTGCTCCTGAGCTAGCCACACACACCTCCCTTTCTTTCCCCAGGCAGTTCTTTCTGCTCTGAATTCTCTTTTCTCCTTGTTTGCTTTTCCAAATTCTACTTATTATTCAGGAGTCTGTCCAAATGTGAGTTCCTCTCCCCTTCCCTGGTCAGAATGGTTCCTTACCTTCTCTGGGCTCTCCCACACCTTTTGGTTTGCCCACATACCCTCGTACCCCTTCCTGTGAGAATGTTGCTTTCCTACATTGAGTATCAGAACCAACTGATATGTGCACATCCAATGACAGAATGTCTCAATGGCTTTCAGCCCAAGGCACTGCATGCCCTCGCTTGCCCCTCCCCTCAACCTTAGGCTTCTTGTGGGCATGGTCCATATCCTTCCATCACCAAGCACATAACTGATGCCCAAAAACACCGTATGGTGCAATGGTTGAGTATGGATTCTACAACTTGGGAGGGTGACATGACTTCTCTAAGCTTCAGTTTTCTCCTGTGTACAATAAGGACACCCTCACAGAGTTGTTGGGAGGATCAAAGGGGATAATCCAAGAGAAATACTTGGCATGGGTGAGTTGAAATGGATAGAGAGATGGAAGGTTATCTCACCAAGACCCACATCACCCCTTACAGCTGGTTAGCACTTTCTATGTGGACCACTTTGAGTCCACACATTGACTCAGGAACAGATTGAGAAACTGAGGCCCAGAGAAGTGGTGCAACTGACCCACAGCTTCTCAGATCTGGGATTGGAGTTTGTCTTCCTTTAGCTGTGCCCCATAGTTGCCTTGAGGTCCCTGCCTGAGAATTGGGCACTAACTCTCTCTGTTCTGGCTGTTTCTTTCAGATCTCCACCATTGGAGACGTGACCTATGAGCGTGTGAGTAAGAGGCTGGCTTAAGCCACTAGGCTGAGGCCCACTGGAGCCCAAAAACTACTAATAAAGCTGGTATAAGAATAGACTGTCTCTTTGCTTGTTTTCTAGTGTCTTGGGGCAACTTCTGGTGGGTGGAGGTGGGACTAGCCATGAGGATGGTTACATGGGCCACACCTTGGGCCTGAGTTCCCTGTGGAACTTGTGTCATGGTAGAGGAAGACAGGAACATGGGCTGCAACACTCCTGATCCCAGAGAGAGGCTAGACATGGCCCTCAATAACCAGGGTAGTCATACTTCCGGAGTCCCATTGCCCTACACTGCCACCCACCACTCTGAGATCACTCATCCTTAGTTCTTGCGTGAGACCTCATGCTGCTTAAAGGCTCATTTAGAGAGACACATGGAACCTGGGAGGGCAATATGCTCTTAGGTGGGTCTCAGGACAAGCAGGTCAGGACTCAGGGTGGGGACAGAAGTGCCACCTCCAGAGAAGGTCCCCAGTTTCTGGGCTCTAAGGCTTGGTAGACACCCAGGCGGATGGCCAGGGCTGAACCAGGGAATGTGTTCCAGCTTGGCTGTGGCTCTGCTATTAATCTGTTGTGGGCTATTAAGCAAGACCCAGTATACTCCGCGGTACAAAGGGGGATAGGAAGACCAATGAAGGACTGCGGGGAAATCATTGTCAGTGGGGGTGATGGAAAACATCTGAGTCTCTGCTTTCAATTCTTTTGGGTCTATACCTAGCAATGGAGCTACTTATATTGCATATATTAATTTCAATCATTTGATCTTCACAATTCTGTGGTAGATACAATTATTAGCCCTGTTTTAGAAATGAGACAACTGAGAGGTTAAGGGATGTTCTGGTTTTGGACTAATAGGGCTTGGATGGGGACCTGGGAGGAACTTCGAGAGGCTGTGGTGGGCTGGGAAAGGTGGTTGGACTTTTGGTAGATGCCTGGAGAATTGGGTTGAGAAGGATTCTGAGGCAGCATTTGAGTTTAGCAGATATCCTGTGAGTGAAGACTGCGTCTGCCCAGGGCATGGGAATAGAAGAGGGTGGCTTTCTTAGTTTCCCTGGCTACATAATCTCTAACCCACAGCACAAAACAGGCCTTTATTTCATCTCCTTCTCTGCTTGGGCACTTTGCCATATCTGTGTATCATTTTGACTTCTTTTTACTCAACATTTTTCTGTATGGCAATTAACTTATTTTTACTATAATGGAAATTTTATATCACTTCTGTACATGAAAAGCCAACATCATTTAAATAAATGACATAAATAGATAAATTAGTAATAGATGAAAGCCATTTTTTTTTTTTTTTTAAATTAGAGCTGACTAATGTTGATTTCTAGCTAGATTCTACTGCCTCCCTTTGTGGAAAGGGTAGGGGAGATGCAAAAGATTTTGTGTATTCAACAGAAACTCTCCCTGACTAGTCAAAATGACTGACATACTCTGAAAAGAGAAGAATGTACTCACTAGGAGAGTTGAATTATCTAAGGCAGATAGTCCTTAAAGTATCTCACATATCACCTGATATACAAGTGCCACATAGTGGGCATAAGCAATACAGTTTTCCCAGAGCTTTGTACAATGTCTGGCATACATTAGGCACTTAATAAATGCAACTTGGAGACTTCCAGTAAGATGGAGGAATAGGTAGATGAGTGACACAGACCCTCTTCAACAGAGAAAAGAAAAACCAATTGACAGAGATATAGAAGATAATCCTGGAGCCCTGAGCTTTGAAAGGAACTAGACAGAAGTGGATGAGGCACCAACTAGTGGAAAAACCTGAACAAAAACAGTAAGTACAGAGATGGTCGGAGCTGTGGACTATGAGCTACTCTGATGGGACCAACAGCCTGAATCTTTCCAAGAGGTGTTGGGACCTGAAAATTGACCTAAAGATCAGCCCTGGTCACCAAGAGCTGCAAGGACAACTGCGCTGGTGCCTATGACTAGGAAGGGAAACAGCAAGGAGGGAGACAACCTGAGCTGTAGACTTTCCGCTGTCCGGAAGTAGCAGTCATTTTGATTGTTTACACGTGTAGCCATTTTGGATATTTATAGTGACCGAGGGTGCAGCCATTTTGAATCTTTACAAGTGGTGGCTATTTCTGATATTTAAAGTGACCGAGGGCAAAGCCATCTTGGAATCTTTACAAGTGGCAACCATTTTGGATTTTAAAGTGATAGCATTCTCATTTGGATTCCAGAGACCTAAGAATAGGCTCTGTTTGCCAAGGTTGGCAGGGACATATGAGAGGCTGATAACAGGAAAAGAGACAGATGGTGAGGGTTTAAGTGCTGCCAACTAGCAAATAGAGGAGCACAGCACAGTACCTGGCTTATGTAGCTAACATACAAAGAAAACAAAAATCATGGACAAGTCACTCCAACATACAATCACCAATTAAATATAAACACAAAAACGCCACAATGCCTCAGGGACAACAGAGCATCACAGTCCACACAAAGAAGCAAGATAAAGCAGGAGAAACAAAGGACCAGGATACAGACCCAAAACACATCCCTGAGGAAGATGCAGCATTGAAACTCCCTGATAAGAAATTCAAAAGAATTATATTTAGGTATCTTCAATAAATTGAGAGACAGATCAAGGAAAACACAGACAAAACCCTAGAAGAATTCTGGAAGAAAATACAAGAACAAAATGACAAAATAAATGAAAAATTAGAAATGATACAAAATCTACACACAGAAATCCAGAAGATTAATACTAAATTTTCAGAAATAGATAAGACATTGAATGGACAGAGGAGTAGAATTGAATTGATAGAAGACAGAATTAGTGAGATTGAAGGCAAATATCTGAATACCTCTTTGGAAAGGCATCAATCAGAAAAAAGATCAAAACAAAATGAAGAAAGCCATTTTCTTGGCTTTCTTGGGATACTATCAAAAGGAATATCCTACATGTAATTGGAATTCCAGAACAGGAAGAGACAAACGAAACCACAGAGAAAATTGTCGAAGATTTGTTGGAAGAGAATTTTCCTGGTATTAAGAAAGATGAGAATATATCCATTCAGGGAGTCCAATGAACCCCAAACAGGATAGACCCCAAAAGAAAATCACCAATACATATCATCATCAAACTTACCAAAACCAAAGACAAAGAAAGAATCATGAGAGCAGCATGGGAAAAACGAAAAGTTACTTACAAGGGGCAACCAATAAGACTAAGCTCAGATTTCTCGACAGAAACCATGCAGGTGAGAGGGCAATGGGATGGTATATATAAAACCTTGAAAGAGAAAAATTTCCAACCACAAATTATGTACCCAGCAAAATTGTCCCTCAAATATGATAGTGAAATTAGGACATTTCCAGATAAGCAGAATTTAAGGGAATTTGTTAAAACCAGACCAACCTTACAAGAGATGCTAAAGGGAGCCCTTTGGACAGAGAAGCAACAACAACCAACAACAATGACCATTAACACATATGATGATACAACCCAGAAACCAACCCAACTATGGAAGTATTCAAAGTAAATAAGCCTACAAGATTGTAAACAGGGAACCAGAGACATCAATTGACAAATGAGGACAACTACAAACCAAAAAGAGGGAAAAAACTGTCATTACAGAACTTCTAGATGGTAGGGAAGTCAAGACAACTACAAGATAGAACAGACTGCTTTAAACTTGGGAAGAAAACTATAAATCACAAGGTAACCTCAAAGGAAAATGATAAACCTTCACATCAAAAAGAGGACCAGCATAAATATTCAGCAAATACGAAAACAATAGCAATGAAGGAAGTGATAACTTGACTCATAAACAAATGAGCTCAGCATAAAAAATTATATGGAATAAAGAAATTGACACCAAGAAAAAGCACATTACAAAAATGACAGCAAAAAATTCTTATTTGCTGATAATTACATATCTGGCAAGGGACTCATGTCTAAGATTTATAGTGGAAGAGTGGATGACAAATCTATTTTACATACACATAATGGAATGCTATGTAGCACTAAAGAATAATGCAGAGTACAAAACACCGCATAATATGGATAAACTTGGAGGACATTACGCTGAGTGACATAAATCAATCACAGAAGGACAAATACAGTATTAGTTTGTTGTCGTGGAGGGTCAAGGAAAGGTTTATACATGGAAGGAAACTTTCTTTGTTGGTTGCCAGAGGTTAAAGGGGAAGGGAGGGAACACTGCAAAAAAAAAAAAATATGCATTGAACCATGTCACTTTAGTTTTGTGTATTTCACTGTACATAAATTATATTTCAGTAAAAAAAAAAAAAAGAGAAAAAAAATGCAACCTGACCTTAGGTCCTTCCAACTTTGTGTCATCTATGGCCTTTCACCCTCATGGCCAGTCATGGCCTGGACAAATGGAACAGCCCAATTCACTTGCAAGGCACTCTTTGCTTCCTATCACATTCTGCCCTGAAACCTTGTTTATTTTTTCCAAGAACAGCACTCAGCCTCTCTCCACCCACCCACCAAGCCAGGACCCCATGAATTCCATCGTTTTGCCAAGACTTATTGCTAATTAAGTGAACTAGGTAAGCATTAATTTAAACTAGCAGTGTTGCTGTTTCCCCTCCAGACTGAATAGTTAGTCATAATGAGCTTGGATAATAAGTCTCTAAATAACAGAGAGTTAACCATAATTGGGCTGAAAATTGGGGAAAGTGGAGGGGGAAAGAGAGAGAGGTGTAGTGAATAAGAAAGTGGGAGACTGTTTTTACTCCTGTGAATGATCTAAGGGCAAATTCAGATTTTGGCAGGGTAGAAATTCTTAAGCCAGGGTTTTTACTGAGAGACTCAAGAAATTTCAGGACTTTAGCACTCAATAGTGTCACCCTACAATTGGAAACCGAGGTTCAGAAAGTGGAAGTTCACCAAAGTTCACAACAGAGAGAGAGAGAGGAATACAGGGCTGGCATCACTGGCTGACAAGGGCTAGAGCTCCTCAGTCTACCTTATGAGGGTAAAGGAGTAAGGGCAAGCTGGGTAAGTG